ACTTCAGTCTGTGTGCATTGAATTTATTTAATACACGAGTTTCACAATTTGAGTTGAATTACTGAAATAAATGAACTTTTCCACGACATTCTAATTTATTGAGATGCACCTGTATGCTGCTGTCTTTTTCCAGCACTCCTCCTCCTCTTCACTGTCTTCAGCTGTCTCATCTCCGCTCGAGGTTGCAAAACGCTCTCATCACCCCTGTGTACCCTCTTTGTGGTTGATTACAAAGCTTGAAACTCATGAAACTAACTTTCACAACTGTTGTTTTATGTTGCAAGAATTTCTCATAGCATTCAAGAATTTTAAACTCATGCGTTTTATAGACTAAAAATGTAGTAACCATGATTTTTTTTGTATAACCACAGTTTTACTACAAATACCATGATTAAACTATGGTTAGTGTAGCAAAACTATAATCCAAAGTCGGACATCGCTTGTTATGATTTTCAAGGGCATAGAATTTAGTAGGGACGCTATACATGTCCCTACCAATATCCATCGACTGCTAAATTGTCCCTAGCAATAATTTTGATCAAACAATTATGTCTGTTGTTTGCCTTTATGTCACCACCAATGCCAAAATCAAACCTATACCCATGAAAGAAGCCTGCGAGGAAAATAATGTAAGGACAATACATCAAAAGTTGAAAAGAAATTCATATTCTGCGAAAAAAAAATCGAACTAATTAATGGAAAAGGCCTATACTTGGCCTACAACTTTATTTTAGAAATGAAGCATGATTTATTTGGACTTTATGTATGCAACTGAGAAAAAAAAAAACTATTAATAAAGGAATGTGAAGTCACGTGCATCGTCAATGCGAGGGTCATGGCTAAAAACAAATAGGCTAAGAATAAACAAAATAAATCATAAATGTTAATCACATTAATTTTTGGCTGCGTGCAGTTTAAGATGCATATTCAAGGTGTATTTATAAGGGAAAGTCTTTCCACAGTCTGGACAGGAGAACGGCCTCTCTCCCGTGTGAATCCGCGAGTGTTTCTGCAGCGTCGTGAGGCGTGAGAATCCGCATCCACACACGGAGCAGCAGAAGCGTTTTCCAGAGTGAGAATCCTTGTGGTGGCGATTCAGATTGGTCTGACTGAAGAACTTCTTATCGCAGTGCGTGCAGGCGAACGGCCTCTCGCCTCTGTGTTTATACTGATGACTCTGGAGCGAGGTGGAGCCAGGAAACTTCTTCCCACACTCACCGCAAACGTAGTTCTTCAGGTTGTTTCGTTTCTCACTAGTGTGTACGTTACTGTGCATTTTCAGCCAGTCAGCACAACGGAAACTCCTCCCACAGAGATCGCAGATGAACGGCGCCTCGCCCGTGTGTATTCGCACGTGATGCACCAGATGTGTGTTGCGACTGAACTCCTTGCCGCACAGCTTGCATCTGAATTTTTTAACAGGAGACTCTGATAAATGCTGCTGTTCAGTATTAGGCTCCCTTGTTTTGATCACAGGCTTCATATCGATGCAATCAGGACACCAAGATAGAGTAACAGATTGACTTGAGAAGAAAGAAAAACAGAATTATTCAGTTGTAACTCAAAGATGCTAGAATATAAATAAAATAAATTGAGAAGAAAGGAGAATTGTTTGTACAAGAGCCTTAAAGGGATAGTTCACCCAAAAATTAAAATGTGATGTTTATCTGCTTACCCCCAGGGCATCCAAGATGTAGGTGGCTTTGTTTCTTCAGTAGAACACAAACAGAGATTTTTAACTCCAGCCGTTGCAGTCTATCAGTCGTATAATGCATGGCAATGGTAACAAAATCTATGAGAGTAAAAAAAACATGCACAGACAAATCCAAATTAAACCCTGCGGCTCGTGACGACACATTGATGTCCTAAGACACGAAACGATCGGTTTGTGCAAGAAACCGAACAGTATTTATATAATTTTTTACCTCTAATACAGCACAATGCCCAACTTCCTTGAGCGCGTGCACGGCATCCGGTGCGTGAGGTGTGTACGCGCTCTGGCGTAGTTTACGTTAATGGGTGTGTTGATATCCAGCCGAAGAGCAATCAACCATAACTTCAGGCGAGCAGGCTCAGAAGTTGGGAATACGTGGAAAGTCACCACTCCCGAATGAGTTCGCGCGAGAGAACGTAATCTTTTAGTTTTAAGTCGGTTTGAACAATCCGGATAAGCGCAAGTAAGTACCATGTTGATTAGTCGTCGTATCTACAATGACTGTGCACTGTGTAAACAATGAGTGACGTATACGCACGAGAGATCACTTCCGGCGCTTGCGTAAACTACGCCAGAGCGCGTACACACCTCACGCACCGGATGCCATGCGCGCGCCCAAAGACAGTTGGACATAGTGGTGTATTAGAGGTAAAAAATGATATAAATACTGTTCGGTTTCTGGCACAAACCGATCGTTTCGTGTCTTAGGACATCAATGTGTCGTCACGAGCCGCAGGGTTTAATTTGGATTTGTCTGTGCATGTTTTTTTTTACTCTCATAGATTTTGTTACCATTGCCATGCATTATACGACTGATAAACTGCAACAGTTAAAGTTAAAAATCATATGTGTTCTACTGAAGAAACAAAGTCACCTGCATCTTGGATGCCCTGGGGGTAAGCAGATAAAACATCAAATTTTCATTTTTGGGTGAACTATCCCTTTAATGGAGACACGAAATTATTTTTTTGCTTACAAAAATGTCGCTTATGGTTGTATGGGTATGTTTTTTTTTTGTTGGCATATTGATTACCATTTGTATAACCACAGTTTTGCTACTAATACTGTTGTGATATTAGCAAGGAACGGACCGGAGACGACAGGGCAGCAGACGAGCATGAGATGCTCATTCATGCATCTTTACTGAACTCCTCCTTCCGGCGCTGACCCCTGCGCATGCGCATATTACACATCCAAACATCCTACTACTACAAATACCATGGTTAAACTATGGTAAGTGTAGCAAAACCATGGTTAATTTGTGGTTACCATGGTTTAACTATAGTAACTATGTTTTGTTTTTTTTTGTAAAACCATGGTTAATTTTCGTAAGGGGCATCTGACGTTGTTTACAAGCTGTTTTACAACCGTCTTTCCTTCCTCAGCTGAATCACTGGTTGAGCGATTGCATGAGACATACTTTATTTAAGTTTTGTTTTGTTTCTTTCAAAATATCTTCTCATGTTAATTCATGTTTATTTCGCGCTATAACTAAGAAACAGGAAGAGATTATGTTCACGCGCCGTTTGATTTTACTGAGGCGGATACAGCGATCTGTCACAGCATATTAAAGAGCGTCAAAACCACATTTATTGCTTGAATTTCGTGATAAAACTGACAACATTTAAAAGCTGAGATTTTGTTTCACACATCACCAGAAAACAGCTTAGAATATCGATTTCCGATTAAAATATTGCCAACCCAGCCATACTTTCCCTTATACATGCATATAACTTTTAACTTAAATACCAATATTGTTTGTTAACCCATTTGTACTTTAAAGGTTACAAACGCGTTTAGAAAATTCTGGTGAAAGCACTTACTTGCAATGCTGCTGTTCAAAGGGATATTCTCTGAGACTGTGCAAGTAACGAGCATCCCCAACTTCATTCACTTGTTCTGCTTCACTTCACTTCAAGACAGACAACCAGTGCTGCCCCCTCTGTTATCGAACAGTTGCTTGATGTATTGCTCTGTAAACCTTTGCAAAAATCTGGAAAAAACATTTTTGCAAAAGCAAAACATAACTTTATATATGAAGTGTATTAACTGTATTCAGGTAGTGATGGAAGTGTATCAGATTCATAGAACAGTGGTTATATGTAGCAAACACAGAACGCTCTTCTAATGTTTCCATTTCGTTATTTTTTGGGAACCAAATAAGAACGTTCTGGGAATGTTAGGAGAACGTGCTCTGAACCCACAGGAGGCAGTCTATTTACCTGAAAGAAAACTTTCCTGGCTAACCATCAGAGAATGTTAGAATGTCCGTTCTGGGAACCAGAAACAAACCACGTTCCACATTCCTGAAACTAAAAACTGATATCTGGGCATGACTTTTAAAATTTAAACAAGTGAGGAAAAACAGTGATGAAAAGGTGATAAAAAGGTTCTTTATTTTGGCACTAAACAGGTATGATAAGATTCAGAAGAAAAATCCTCAATAAAAGGAACATGGCTCAAACAAATAAAAACAAACAGAATAAATCAGAAATTCGTGTGACATGCATGAATGTGCATTACATCAACTTTTAGCTGAGTGCCGTTTACGATGCATATTCATGGAGTATTTATGACTGAAAGTCTTTCCACAGTCTGGACAGGAGAAAGGCCTCTCTCTTGTGTGAGTCCGTGTGTGTTTCTGCAGCGAAAAAAGGCGTGAGAATCTGCTTCCACACACAGGGCAGCAGAACGCTTTGTTGTCCGAATGAGAATCGACCTGATGCCGTTTAAGATTGGTCTGACTGTAGAAGGTCTTATCGCAGTGCACACAGGCGAACGGCCTCTCTCCTCTGTGTTTGTACAGATGACTCTGCAGTGCAGTGAAGCCAGTAAACTTCTTCCCACACTCGTCGCAACTGAAGCTCTTCGTAGGCTTTCGTTTGTTACCCGTGTGAACACTGCTGTGCAGCTGAAGCCAGTCTTTACGACGGAAACCCCTTCCACAGAGTTCACATACATGTGGTGCCTCACTTGTGTGTATTCGCATGTGACGCACCAGGCTTATGTTCTGGCGATACTCCATGCCACACAGCTTACAGATGTATTTTTTAACAGAAGTTTTACTGCAGTTTAAATGTTGGGAGATGAAAGGTTCAGCTTCTGTTTTAATATCCAAAGGACTTTCATCTGGCACCTGAATACTTTTTACTCTATATTTCAGCTGTTGGCAAAAGAGCACACCTGATTCCTCCATTTTGCTGAGCACCAAAGTTTCAACACCCTCCTTATTCGATCCAGACCTTGGATCTCCAAGAAAAGACGTTTTGATCGCAGGTTTCATGTCGATACAGACAGGATGCCAGTCCATCAACTAGGGAAACAGATTGAATAGAGAATATTGAGATTTATTCCTCAACAGTATTATGCTTAAAACCCAAATTTCCCATAAATTAATAATACAATAAGCCTATAATTTATTTGGACACTTACACCACACTTAGCCTGTTGCACAAGAAACATGTTCAATAAGACTAAGAGGAATTGAGAAACGTATTATGCATTAGTGCAATAATAAGCAAACAACAGGAAAGAGTCAACAGATGGAAGTCAGTGAACCAGTGATAGAACCTGTTTCAGGATGCAAGAACATAAATTGTAAATACATACATATATATATATATACAGTGGGGAAAATATTTATTTTATCCCCTGCTGATTTTGTAAGTTTGCTCACTTACAAAGAAATGAAGGGTCTGTAATTTTTATGGTAGGTTTATTTTAACGTATAGAGACAGAATACCAACCAAAAAATCCAGAAAAACACATTATATAAAAGTTAGATAAAAAGATTTGCATTTCAGTGATGCTCCGATTAAATCATTCTAATATGCTGATTTATTATCAGTGCTGGAAACTGTTGTGCTGCTTCATATTTTTTTGGAACCTTTTTGGATTCTTTGATGAATAAAAAGTTAGAAAGAAGTGCATTTATTTAAAATAGAAATCTTTTCTAAAAGTATACACTACAGTTCAAAAGTTTGGGGTCAGTAAATTTGGAAAGAAATTAAAACTTTTATTCAGCAAGGATGTGTTAAATTGTTAAGAAGTGATAGCAAAGATTTATATTGTTAGAAAATATTTATATTTTGAATAAATGCTGTTCTTTTTAACTTTGATTCCTCAAAGAACCCTGAAAAAAGTATCGCAGTTTCCAAACAAATATCTGGCAGCACAACTGTTGCCAACATTGATAATTCTAATCTGTATCTTACCATGCTATTGTTATCTCTGACCATGCCCCTCTTAGTGTTGATATACAGTTGTCTGTGCAGCCTAGATATTCATCATCATGGAGGTTAAATACTCTTCTTTTGTCTGATGAAAAATTCATTGATTTTATTTCAACCTCCATTGACAATTTTTTGGCTACAAATCAAGATGGGGTGGTCACTTATTCATTGCTGTGGGAGACACTCAAAGCTTACCTCCGGGGACAGATTATTTCTTATTCCGCACATTTAAATAGAGTTCGCAACACAAGGATACGTGAACTCACTTCCAATATTTTTCAGATTGATCAGCAGCTCGCCAACTTCCCTTCACAAGATCAATTTAAAAAACGTCTCGATTTACAAGCTGAACTTGATCTCATTCTGACCGATGATGCTGAGCGGCTTCTTTTGCATTCTCGTAGCATTTATTATGAGCATGGTGATAAAGCTAGTCGCCTCTTAGCTCATCAGTTAAGACGTCAAGCAGCTAGCTGACTGATTCCACAGATTCAAGACCTATCTGGTAATTTGATATCTGATCCTGAAGGTATTAATGCCACCTTCAAATCTTTTTATTCATCTTTATACACTTCTGAATCTCCATCTGGTGCCGGAATCTTTAGAGCATGGTTTCCTACCGGAGACACTTACACAAGCATCCATAATTCTGTTACTAAAAAGATCACAAATGCAGACATGGTTTTATGTTTACGCGGCGCGATGCAACGCAACGCGTAAAAAGACAGTATAAGTCATTATAATCCGTAATTATGTCCCCACTGGATGCAACGAATGCCTTGTTTATAATGGGTTTTCATGTTTTTGAATCATCGCTCCGGCCGGACAGGGCATCACAGTATGGTAAGGGGCGTAACATTTCCGTCACACGCTTGAGGTATTCGGCCAATCATAACGCACTGGATAGCTGGCCAATCACAGCACACCTCGCTTTTCAGAACGATGAGCTTTGTAAAAATCTACGCGTTTCAGAAAGGCGGGGCATAGAGGAGAAACAATAATGTACAGTATGTGGAAAATAATGTGTTTTTTTAACCTTAAACAGCATAAACATATTTCATTACACCAAATACACAAAATAATGTTCTTTTTAGCAACATCATATGACACCTTTAAGTGTGAGTGAATGAAAATTCTGGGTATAAACTTAAAACAGTGATAAAAAATGAATAACATTATACAAAATAAGATGCTGCTGCATTTACAGCTCAAGTGAATCAATGTCACTAACCTTGCATATGACTGTAACATTAAACAACATACATAGAAAAAGGGAAACATACATCTGAAACTTGCAAATACGCTTTTAGTTACAGAAGGAATTGGGACTTTTATTATGAAAGTGTATGCAGGAGCCAGCAGACTCTTAAATCACTATATGGTTCACTGTTTCTGCTTTCACACTACCATGTTTTCACGGAAATAACACCTACAGAGCATTGAAATCAATCAAAATAGAACAATGAATGACCGCGAACTTGATCTCACAGAAGCGCAAAAGGCTATCAAATCAAAGTATCCTCCCATCACCAAGAAATACGAGTGTAAGTGGATTCGAATGCACCGTCTATTTCGCATGTCATGTAAACCCAGTAACGAACACAAACAAAACCTACGTAAACTAGACGTAATGCTGAAAAGTATGTAATACACACTTTTCATACATTAGAGTTATATATAAGAAAAAGCACGCACGTTACTTGACGGGAACGTTACAGAAACGCACTATTAACGTACAATTTCTGATATGTTGAGCTTCATGAAAATGAATTGAGTCACGTGATACGACGCTCCAAGATGTTTACGTCAGCACGTAACATATTTTTTATTATTTCTAAAGAGTTTCATTACATGCGTCTCATTTTGAGATGATTAATGGCAAATCATGGAGTAGTGTATGGAGTAGTAATGAAAAAAAGCTAAGCTTTTCGGTACTTTGAATCAATTGATTCACTTTGATTCATCGTGTTCAATGTTTGATTTTCTGTTTCAGATCTTGATCATACTGCAGATGTCCAGTAAGTATTTTCTTGTGACTAGGGCACTGTTACTTAAATCAAATGTAAAAATAACTGGAAATGTTAGAAGCTACAGTATAGTGGTAAACACAGGAATGAAAACTAATTTCAAAGGACAAGTGAGTAATTTATTTCCCACCTGAGTCTTTTTCAACACTGCCTCAACATTTGGTGTAAGTTTGGGTGAGGAATTATATTTAGTTCAGTGGAAGAAGAGGGCAAGACTTAAAAACAGCTCACCGTGAATGTGTATTTACAGTATAACTTTAAAGAATTGCCTCTGTTTTTCACTGTAGGATTCATTCATGGGGTGATTCTCTGGAAGAGGCTTTTGAACAGTGTGCAATGGGGATGTTTGGCTACATGACGGACACCGAAACTGTTGAACCCACTGACACTATAGAAGTAGATTCAGAAGGTGGGACAGTATATTCAACCTTTTCTTTTCAGACCACCTGGAACTACAGGCGCGTCTATTATATTTGACTCCACATGCACACAGCTAAGTTCGGTAGTTAATTGTCAATTCTTTAAACACACAGTTCATTAATTTACAGGAGTGACAATCATATTCTACAACCGAACCGAACTAAACAACTAGTGGTGAATGATATATTTAAACACGTATTAGAGATGTGTCTCTCTATTATATGTTAGCTGCAAGAAAATCACAGGAATATAAGCCTTCACTCATTTGTGTTGCCAAATCTTGCTAGAAAAAACTCCAGAAAAGCCCATAATAAATCAAAATACTTTATATTGAAAATGGGATCAAAATATTGAATAATACCAAAATACCTTCCCACATGAATAACTCTGATCGTTTTATGAGCCATAACCAAACAACAAGCCCAAGCACACTTATAATGACAGGACATGGCAACACAAGAGTGCACTTTAAAGCAGCCTTCCAAACATAATACAGGATGTGGTTTAGTGAAAATAGCTGAAAATAACAAGTTTTTGGTCGCTGTAATATTACTTCAAACTTAACAATAAAATTCACCATCTACTTTCCTTGTATGGAAACAAACTCATTCTGCCTAGTATCTGTTGTGTTTCACCGAAGAGGAGGATAATCTGGTGTTTGAACGACATAGGAATGAATTAATGATGATAAAAATGTCCATTTATATATTTACATTTAGTCATTTAGCAGACGCTTTTATCCAAAGCGACTTACAAATGAGGACAATAGAAGCAATCAAAACTAACAAAAGAACAACAATATATAAGTGCAAATGACAAGTCTCGGTTAGCCTAACACAGTACACGTAGCAAGTTTTTTTTTTTTTTTTTTTAATATGTATGTGTGTATATATATACTGTATATACAGTATATATACATACACACACACACACACACACACA